GTTGAGGTACAGCGAGCTGTTGAGACTCCATCAGCTGGTGCAGGAATGCGCGGATTCAGTCGACGTTCCAAAATTTCCCCCAAAATACTATCTGCCGTTTTTCACTTCCAGAAAACTGGAAGAGCGGCGGGAAATGCTACAGGACTATCTGAGATCCAGTGAGCATTTAAGACTTTATGAGGTGACGCATACTTATGCTTCCTCATGAAGTTGCAGTAGAATTGCAGAAAAACTGCTTTAATGTGTTTTAGTTTTTCAGTGTCCGAATCTGGCTTCCTCTCTTCCCGTGCTGCGGTTCTTTTTGGAAGCACAGAAGGTATGAGTACTTATCAGTTTTGTTGCCATCGCCAGCTGCTACGAAATTTCTATTTAGAATAGCTGTTCGCGGGAGAAGCGCTTGCGCGAGATCCTGCCGGTGTACTTGCTGGATGGGTTGAAGGTGGACGTTACCTGCCGGTATGGCGAGTGCACCAGTGCGGTTCTGAAGGTTTGATATCAGTTTTTAATTTTCAGCAGTTTTGTGTATACGTTTTAATAACGGGGCTAAAGACAGCAACGTAGAGGGAAGTCGTTCCATTTGTCTTGCACTTTGGAGGTGCGGGGTTCGAATCATAGAGTGTTGTAGATTTGTCTTGTTTACTGTCTTTTCCTTGCACCAGGAAATCCTCTACTGTTTTTTGATGCGACCAACCGAAAGACATAGCATGTAATTGTCCCACGAACAATAGGGTCAGCATGGTGTTCTGGTGTGGAAATTTAAAAGCTTGTGACACTTGTAGTCATGCTAGTTGTTGTATGTATTTCTGAGCTGCAATTCTTATCGACCTAGCTGATAGCTGACTATATCATCGTAACATGTATAAATATAATAAAGTAGTGATAGAATGACGTAAAGATTGCCAGTATGTTGTTATTAGAGTGCAGGAAAAGTTTGCTGATTCTGTCATCTGCATGTCAGAAATTAGCAATATTCCGTGATCACGTTTGTATAGAATGGTTGTGACTCTTGAACAACACCCACTGTCTTAATTTTTGGCTGTCATCTTACGAGATGGCGCTCGATTTACGCCATAGCTGTATTTTTGAGGAATGCTGAGTAACTCTGAAGTAGTGTTAAAGTAAGATTTTTAAAATGACAGTTCTAAGACGTGGCACAGGAAATCAGCTTTCGACTGAATCTGCTAGCCGTCCTCCTTCAAAATTACTTGACTGGCAGATCACAGTACCGTGTTCGTGTGCAACAGCTGTGGCAAGTTTAGACCAATTGTATATTCGTTGCGTTGTCGTTTACTACTTGTTGCCCAATTCTTGCTTCATCGGGACTATCACTCGTTGTTGTTACTGGATGATTCCTAAACTTTTGACCGTTCAAAGCTCGTTAGAAGGCTTATCCGGGTCTTGGACATTTTCAGGCTACAGTAACTGTTCATAGTATTATCCGCTGTTTGGATCAGGCTTCCAGCACGATTTATGTATGTATGTATGTATGTATGTATGTATGTTTGTATGTATGTATGTATGTATGTATGTATGTAT